TTGTAGTCCAATGAAGATACCTTAGTGATTCTTGTCTCGAAATAGAAAATAAAATAAAAATGGCTGAGTGTAGAGCTCAGTGCGAAGGTACTGGGTCCCACCCTCAGGAGAAAAACAAGATGAAAATGTTCTCCCATTTAGTGCAGTTAAAGCCGAGGTTCCCTGGCTCCTCCCATTCATCTGCTCCAGCATTGGGGGAGTGCAGATGACTGACAAGGGAGACGTGGCTGAGCCCTGAAGACTTGGCTTTCATTGAAAGTAAAATGTGAGCTTTTACATAACAGATGAGACAACACAGCTTGGTTTGCTTTGTTGGTTTGCTCCGGTGTACAGCTGTAATCCCAGCACTGAGGCAGGAAGATCACAGTGAGTTCAAGGCCAGCATGAGTGATCATGTGAGTTTAAGCCCAGCCTGAAGTACAGAGTGAGACCCTGTCTCCAAAAAATGTTATGAAATGACATAACTCAATGCAATGCATAAGGGGTGATGGAAAATTTGCACATTTAGAATGAAAACAAAAATCAAATCCTGGCTTTATAGATGCAGCTGTAGTACGAATGGTAGTGTGGCTAAGGCAGGAGAATCTGGAGTTGAAAGTCAGCCTGGGCTACATACAAAGGTGAAAACCAAGGAGAACATAGCAAGACCTCAGGTCATAGAAAATAGAACACTTACAGTATCCCAAACCTATCTATCTGAAGAGACAAAAGCCACAGACTCCATGGTACCATCTGCTACTTCTGTGCCCACAGGACCTTGGCTGAGGGTGGGGACGTGAGACCTCCTCATGGAGGCCGGGGACTCACCAGGTGCAGACTCAGGTGACAGTGACGGGGCTCCAGGAATCCAGGCAGGACCTGTGGTGCTGGGAGCTCCAGGACTGGGCAACTCCTCTGCCCCTCTCCTCTTTTATCCCCCTTGTTAGCTATACCCTTTCCTCCCTGCTCCACCCTTCCCAGCACACTCAGATCCCTGATTGGCTGACGCCTTCTACACCCAGTTAATCCTGCTGGGGCTCAGGGATTTCTCCATGCTCACTGGTTCTCACACATCTGGAGGTGGGAATGGAGGAATTCAGGATAGAAAGTCAAGGATTCAGTCACTGATTGACACCAAACACAGATTAAGTGTTAACAACATGTGGCAGCTGCATGTGTGTGTGTGAAACAGAAAAGGAAGTGACACGGTCCTGACCTTGGGCGGGAACGGTCCCTGAAATGGGATGTTTGGCTGCACCCAAATGTGACAGTTCCAGAGTTAAAACCATTGTGCAGTCTCAGGGTGCTGTGGTTGGAGGCCACAGTCCCAGCTGCTTTGCGTGCAGGAGCATGGGATTACCTGGTGAGACAAAGAAAGGCCTCACCTCTAAACACAAAACACAAAGAACAAAACAAAAGGAGCAGGCCGTGATGGCCTATACCTGACATCCCAGCACACTCGGTGGTTGAGGCAGGCTGGTCACAAGATTAGGTTCAGCCTGTAATTTAGTGCGTACAAAAGATCTCTTTAAAAAGTACAAGTGACCAGGTGTGGTGGTGCACACCTGTAATCTAGCTGAGGCCGGAGGATGGCTGCCATTTCTAAACCAGCCTGGGGTACTACTGATTTCAAAGCCAGCCTGAACTGAATAGCAAAAACCAATCTCAAAAAAATAAATAAACAAATAAATAAATAAAAAAGAAGAGCTAAGGATGGAGCCCAGTGCAAAAACGGTGTGTTCAGTCACCAATGCTGGAAAAAAAGAAGCCACACAGAGATCCACACATCTCTCTAGATCTATGTTCACTGAGGCACAAGTAAGCCCCGCTCTATGACGTTACTGTAGAAGAGAACCAGTGGCTTGTGGTGCAGAGCGTGGAACACAAAGCTTCCCACATGCTAGGCCTGCCTCCACACTGCCCTACATCCTCATCTGAATTATAAGAAAAATTCCCTGGCTTTTAGAAAAGAGAGCTATGAAAGCTTGCATGCACTTGAATCATTATGAAATGAAAGTAAACACAAAGGCTGGGGATACAGCTCACTAGCACAAGTACCTGACTGGTAGGTACAAGGTCCTGAGTTTGATTCCTGATACAAAAAAAA